TAGAGAGAGTGTGACCTTGTCTCAAGCCTACTCCTTAGTTCACAGTGAAGAAAGTAGGAGAAAGGTTATGCTACAATCTCAGCCTATGGAATCAGCCCTAGCAGTAGTGAAACCGAAGTATGGGGGTGACAAGTAGATCTGTTCATGGGTCGGCCCGGCCCGGCCCGGCCCCTGGACGGGCTTGAGCATGTGTTTTAGCCCGCGGGCTTGACCTCGGGCTTAAAAGCCCGAGCCAGACTATTTTACGGGCCGGACTCGGGATTTGTTAAAAAAGCCCGGCTTGAGCCCGGCCTGGCCTGACTTTTCCTAAACTACTTAACCCTAACCCTAAATACTTAAAATTTTTCTTTTCATTCTCCTTTCTCACTCTCACTCTCACAGAAGCGGCTCTCATTTCTCCCTCTCAACTCTCAGAACCGATGAACCCAACCCACCTGCGAACTCAGTCACCGACGGCCGACTCCACCAGAAGGTCCAGAACCAGTCATCTCTCTCTTTGGCGGTGATCTCTCTCTCTCTCTCTCTCTAGCTGGCACCGTTTTCATCTTCTTTCTTCTCATTCTCAGTTCTCTCTCTTCTTAGAACTAGGCCTTCTATCTTCTCAATTCTCTCTCCAACCAGCGGCCCAGCGCCACCAGAACCCAGGCGCACCGTTTTCATTCTGCGAACTCAGGCACCGCCACACTGGCGGCTGGCACCACCAGATCTAGATCGTCTCTCTCTCTCTCTCTCGAGCGGTGAGCTCTCTTTCTCTCTCTCTCTCTCTAGCCGGCACTGTTGTGTGTTGTCATCTTCTATTTTCTCACTTTCTGGGTTTCTATTCTCAATCTCAGACTCCCAGGAATCGGCGAACTCAACAGGCACCGGCGCTCAGACTCCCAAGTCGGGCTTCGGGCTCGGGCCCGGACTTCGGGCTTTTTTGAGGGCCGGGATCGGGCCCAAGTTTTAGGCCTGTTGGTCGGGCCGGGCTTGGGCTTGGGCCTGAAAAGTTTATGTTAATAAAGAGCAAACCGGCCCAAGCCCGGCCCGGCCCATGAACAGGTCTAGTGACAAGGAAAGGGATATGAAGAAAGAGGACAAGAGGGAGTTAGTTTGTGACCATTGCAAGAAATCGAAGCATACCAAGGACACATGTTGGAAACTGTATCCACATCTAATTCCAGCAAAGCTCAGAAACAAAAAGAAGAATGCCAATGTGGCAATTATTACTGATGGTGCTTCATCCTCTAGTACAAGAACTACACCCCTGGACACCTTAGCTGTTGTCCGAGCTTCCCTAACTTAGTTGGAAAGTGAGGTTGGCACTTCAACACCCTCATCTCAGCCACCGACTATATTTGCTACTTCCACTTCTACATTTGCTCATTCAAGTACAAAGACTTCAACATATCATGCTTCAGCTCTAGTTAACAATGAACCTTGTCGGGTTATAGATTCAGGTGCATTTGACCATATGACTGTCTTATCCTCATTGTTTAATACTTATTCTTTATCCTCTGGCAGAGACAAAGTGTCCATTACTGATGGCTCCCTTGTTCCCATTTCTGGCAAGCGAGACATTAGATTGTCTGATGCCATCTCCTCATCCTCAGTTTTGCATGTTCCTAAACTTAGTACTAACCTACTTTCCGTTAGTAGTATCACTAAAAATCAAAACTATTCAGTGACATTCTTTTCTGATCGGTGTGTTTTTTAGGATCTGGAGACAAGAAAAGTGACTGGGATTGACCATGAGATGAAAGGAATCTACCTACTTAGAGGGGATTCACATGGGGAAGATAGAGAAGTGGGGAGGTCACTAGTTTCTCAATTTGTAATTCAGGTTATCCTTTGGCATAATCTGCTAGGTCATTTGTCTTTTAGATCTTTGAAGAGTTTATTTCCCAGTATGTTTGAATTAGTTCAAATGTCTAGTTTAAAATGTGAAAGTTGTGAACTTGCAAAGCACTGCAGAACAACCTATTCTTTGAGCAAAAATAAAAAAAAGTAGTATTCCTTTTGAAATCATACTGATGTTTGGGGACCATATCATATCACTGCTATAGGGGATATAGATGATGACTAAACTCGTTTCTCATGGGTTTATCTTATGCACTCTCGAGATGAGGTCCCTACCCTAACTTGGAGCATAAGATAAACCCATTGGCCTCATATCTCCTTGACCACAAGGTTATCCATCAGAGCACTTGTCCCCATACACCTCAGCAAAATGGGGTTATTGAGAGGAAAAATAGGCATATATTGGAGGTTGCTAGAAGCATTATATTAACCTCTATTGGTCCCATACGTTTCTGGGGAGATGCTATCCACATTGCGGTGTACCTCATCAACCGAGTTCCCTCACAGGTCCTTGACATGAGAACTCCATTTAGCCTCCTATATCTCAATAAGGACTTGTTTACCATCCCTCTTAAGACCTTTGGATGTACCTGCTTTATTTAGATTCTTAGACCTCATTGCACTAAATTTGATCCTAAAGCTATGGATGTGTCTTTCTTGGGTATGCACAAAATCAAAAAGGATATAGTTGCTATGAGTCTGTTTCTGAAAAATGGTTTGTTCCTATGGATGTCACATTCTTTGAGGATGCACCCTATTATCATAGAGTTTCTTCTCAGGTGAAGAGTAGTGAGGAGGGTTGTCACAGACATCGGGACTTGTGTTTGTATCATAGGCGGTGGAGGCAAGTTGATTTTGGTCATCAACAGTCTGGGCCAACATGAATTTCCTTTGCGGCTCCAGATTCAGGTATCACTTCTTTATCCCCTACTATAGATGAGATACCTTCCATGCCTCCCATTGTTGAGCCTTCTCTTCCTCTTTTGGATGATCTTGATCTTCCAATTATAGTTCATAAAGGGAAGCATCGTTGTACCTCATCTACAACCCATTGTATTTCCCAGTTTCTGTCTTATGATTTTTTGTCTCCATCCTATAAGTCCATTTTGGCATTCATTGTTGCTATTCCCATTCCCATAACAATGTAGGAAGTCTTGTCAGTACCTGAGTGGAAGGATACAATGAAGGTCGAGATGGATGCTCTTCTAAAGAACAATACATGAGAGTTAGTAAATCAACCTAAAGGAAAGAAGCCGGTTGGGTGTAGATGGGTGTTTACAGTGAAACGTAATGCTGATGGCTTTGTTGAAAGATATTAGGCTAGATTAGTTGCAAAGGGGTTTATACAGACATATGGCATAGACTATTTGGAAACTTTTGCATCGGTAGCCAAGATGAATACTGTTAGAGTTTTACCATCCATTGCAGCAAATTTTTCATGGCCGTTGTTTTAGATGGATGCCAAAAATGCCTTTCTCAATGGTGATTTGCAGGAGGAGGTGTATATGGGGTTACCTCCTGGATTCTATAATACAGAAGCAGGGAAGGTCTGCCAACTGAATAAAGCCTTATATGGATTGAAAGTCTCACAGAGCGTGGTTTGATAGATTTAGATAGGCCCTTGAAAAATTCGGCTATGTACAGGCCCAGTCAGATCACACCCTTTTCATTAAGAAGATGAATTCCTCCTTGACCCTACTTGCTATGTATGTGGATGATATTGTTGTGACATGGAGTGATACTAGTGAGATTGACTCTCTTAAGCAATTGCTTCACCAAGAGTTTGAGGTCAAAATTTGGGAGAACTAAAATATTTCTTAGGAATTGAGGTAGCATGGTCCAAACATGGGATTTTTGTCTCCCAAAGGAAGTATGTTCTCGATCTTTTGGAAGAAACTGGAAAACTAGTGTTAAAACCTACTAACACACCTATTGAACAAAACCATAGGACAAGTGCAGAAGGGGGAGAGCCCCTTGAAGACAGGTTATGTTTCAATGATTGGTTAGGAAGCTTTTTTATCTTTGCCTCACACAACCGGACATTTCTTATGCTATTAGTGTTGTTAGCCAGAACATGTATTCCCCCGGAACCACTCAACTTCTTGCAGTTGAGAGGACCCTTGCTTATTTGAAGAGAGGTCCAGGTAGAGGTATACTTTTCAAGGAAAATGGTCACATGAAAATAGAAGTCTACACAGATGTTGATCGGGTCGGGTGCGTTGATGTCAGGAGATCCACCTCCAGGTATTGTGCCTTTATAGGAGGAAATCTTGTTTCTTGGAGAAGTACAAAACAAGATGTTGTTGCTCGTTCCAGTGCTGAAGCTGAATTCAGATCTTTGACTAATGGGGTGGCTGAAATCTTATGGTTGAGATCTCTATTTGAAGAACTGGGTATTGCTTATGAGAAGCCCGTAATGCTGTATTGTGATAATCAGACTGCTATTAATATTGCCCATAATGCGGTTCAACATGACACAACTAACATATTGAAGTGGATTGACACTTTATCAAAGAGAAAGTTGCTTCTCAAGAAGTGTGTCTTCCATATATTGCCTCTAATATGCAGCTTGTTGATCTATTCACTAAGGCAGTTCCAAAGTCCAAGCTGGAGACAGACTTACGCAAGTTGGGGATGATTGATATTTACTCCCAACTTGAGGGGGAGTGTAAAGTAAGTTGTAGGGCAGTAATGTCATTTGTATTAGCCGTTAGCATGTTAGTAGTGTTAGTTAGTAGGGGCAATTTTCTAAGTGTGCAACTTTTAAATCTTTAATATATATATATATATATATATAATTGAGTAGAGCGGCAAGGGATTGATCCTACTCTTTCTTTGAAATTCTTTCTCTTCATTCCTCTCTCTCTTTCTCCCTATTTCATTCTGGTTTCTTGTTGAAATTCTCATCTAGACTAGGACTGATCTCAGTCCCTACTATTCAAGTTGCTTGCTTCTTGACCAACATTCTTTAGATGTAATATCAACCATTTATTGGTCTGAAGTGATATCATGGTCTACAAGTCCTGGAGGGTTTTCGATATTTGCTACTTTTAGTAAGTTCTGTAATACATATTACATTGGGCACTTTCTAATGTTCAATTGATTAAGTGGTTATGATGCCAGTCCTTTTGCCTCTCTAATTAGATTGTTTTCACATGCAGCAATACATGCTGGATGAGAAAGTGGAACAGCCAAATCAGGGTCAACCCCCTTCTGAAGCAACTGAAGATGAAAAACCAATAGATACAGTTGTTGTGGAAGATATTGCTGAAGTAACTAAAGAAGTTGCCATAGTTGAAGAAAGCAATGAAACTCCATCCAAAGAAAGCAATGAAGCTGCAACTGAAGAAATCAACGAAGATGCAACCGAAGAAACCAACAAAGCTGCAGTTGAACAAAGCAGTGAAGCTCCTGAGCAGGAAGAGTCAAGTGATCCAGAAATTGTTGAACAGACTCCAGAAATAAAGGTATAGTGTGGTTTCAACAGTTATTTTTTCTCTTTTCCATGCCTTTTTCTCTGGAAGGATATAGTGCACCTGTTCTTACACTGTGGCTTATTTCCAGCTTGAGACAGCACCGGCAGATTTTCGTTTCCCAACCACCAATCAAACAAGACACTGCTTTACCCGCTATATTGAGTATCATAGGTGAGCAAAACAAGTTCTGAGATCAGGATTTTGTCATTATGCAACTTCATTTTCTGTATGTCAGTTTGTTGCATCCATAAACCTATTTCTTGAGTAAACTTTGTCGTTGACAATGAGAAAAAAAATTCTATTCAGGTGCATTGCTGCAAAAGGGGAAGGTGCGCCAGAGTGTGATAAATTTGCAAAATATTATCGTTCTCTTTGCCCTGGTGAATGGGTAAGCATTTTCTCTTGATTTCATTTGTTGGCTAGTCATGCTGCTTTGGAATTTTTGTAATCATTGATATGTACCTTCTGGAGGTTTTTCTTGGGGGTCAAATCTCTTTGTTTTCCAATACAATTCTATGCCTGCATGCCTAATTATGTGAAGCTAACATTGGAGCTCCTATATAGACTTATTGTGTTTTGAAACAGAATCCAGTGCTCTAGTCCTGTGTCTGAAGTGTACTATAATCCATCTTCCATGGAACCCTGCAGATGTATTTCCTGTTGTTATTTTTGTGCCATCATGTCATTAATTTAGTGAATTTTCGGTGAGTTCAAAAGTTGCAATGATTCCCCTATTAATCTAGGGTGGAATTGGCTTCAAAAAAAAAAAAATCTAAGGTAGAATTTATTTGACTAGCAAGGAATGCATGCACTTGATCTTAGTCTATATGGGATTTGCATCAGTGATATGGTGTTGAAGATGGAGATGCGGCATTCCAATGGATTGAATTAATAGAAAGATTGATTTGAAATAGTTCATACTGAAATTCATATAGCCAAAAGCTTGGGTTTGTTTTTTTATGTTGAGGATAAATATGCTAGAAATGTCTTCTTCACTTCTTGAATTGGAAAACAGAGTTAGAAATATAGGGGAAGAAAAAACAAGGAGAAGACAGAACAAAACAAGGAGAGGAGGCAATTTTAAGGGTGGAGGAATCTTGTG